GAGAATTGCTGGAACCTTGGAGGCGGAGGTTGCAGTGAGCCGAGATCACGCCACTGCACTCCAGCCTGGCAACAGAGCAAGATTCCGTCTCAAAAAAAAAAAAAGAAAGAAAGAAAGAAAAAGAAAAAGGCATTTAACCTCTCCAGGTGTGCCATGGGCAGAACCTGAGCTAATTGCTAGTGTGTAGGGCCTGGCCTGGCACCAGTCACCTCTGGTAGCAGGTTCTCATTAAATGCTACTCCCTTCACATCTCCTACATACCCCTGAGGAGTTGGTCTGTTAATATAAGGAGAAATGAGCAGAACAGGGCTCTGAAACTCTACTTAGCTGGTGAAAATCCCAACCTGTCCAGCCAGTCCTGCCTCAGACCTCCACAGGCTGCTACCTTTATGCCTTACAGGCATTTTGCACACCTTTGTGCTTTTTGGTTTGTTTGTTTTAGTTCTTTTATGCTGTTTGTTTGCATATAATTCTGTACCCATGCATACCAGGCAACCCCACCTAATGCTGCATCAATCACCCCTACATTACCCTACTTCATAGCACTTATCTGAAGTGATTTTATTTGTTTGTGTATTTGCATGATTATCAGTTATTCCCCCTAAAAAGTTGTCTCTATGAAGGTAGCAACTTTGCCCTGTTCACTACTTTGTCTACCATATCTGGCTCAAAAGAGGTGCTCCAGAAAGGTTTGTAGATTACAAGAATGAATGAATGAATGAATGGCCATGCACATGTGTGTCTTCCAGAGGAAAGGACGGGCAGCTGGGTGGGAGAGCTGTAGCTCAAAAGGGACTGGGGCTAGTCCTTCTCCCCAGCATGGGCCCTCACTGTATCCCTCACCTGCACTGCATGTGACCTTCCATCCTTCCTTTCATCTTCCCTATGGTTTTTCTTTTAATAGATTTATTTGAGCTTTTAGTTACAAAAGCAGTACTTATTATTTTTTTAAAAATCCAAAATTAACTTTGGGAGACCAAGGCAGATCACTTGAGCCCAAGAGTCTAAGACCAGCCTGGGCAACATAGTGAGACCCCCATCTCTACAAAAAAAAAAATTAAAAATTAGCCAGGTCAGCTGGGCACGGTGTCTCAGGCCTATAATCCTAGCACTTTGTGAGGCTGAGGTGGGTGGATCACCTGAGGTCAGGAGTTCGAGACCAGCCTACCAACATGGTGAAACCCTGTCTCTACTAAAAATACAAAAATGAGCCAGGTGTGGTGGTGGACACCTGTAGTCCTAGCTACTCGGGAGGCTGAGGCAGGAGAATCACCCCTCTACCTTCACTGCCTCCATCTGCAACCCAGATTAGGACAACTTCCCCAACCACCTTGCTGGCTGTAGAGCAAGAGTTCAGGGAGAAATCCACAGGCAGAGGTGAGGGGTGCCATGGAGGAGCTGCAGAGACCAGCCAAGTCAGAGCTCAGGAGCATGAAAGAGGTAGTCAATGACAGACCACAACAAACAAAATAACAGCTTTGTTTTTTTTTTTTTAGTTAATGACTGAATAATTTTTTATGAGAAGGTGGGGATAAGGTTTCTTTCTCTTTCAGATCTTGTGTGGTGGACTACCCCAAGCCAAGAAGCTGGAGAACAGACAGGAAGGAGGCAGGAGATGGAGACCTCAGGAAGAGGAAGAAGGGAGGGCCAGAGGGAAGGGTGAAGGTAGGGTGAATGGAGGTAGCCAGGACAGGAGGAAGCAGGCAAAGACAAGGAAGCAGCCTTTGGAGCCTCCCCTGTGGGGCAGCTGTACACACAAGGCTCTCTGTGATGCCTGGCAGGCTGATGGCACAATGGTGAGGATGATAGACACAGGATGGAGCCAAGAGGGGTTGAGTGGCGCTGGGGATAAGAGAAAACCCTTGGCTGGGCGCGGTGGCTCAAGCCTGTAATCCCAGCACTTTGGGAGGCCGAGACGGGCGGATCACGAGGTCAGGAGATCGAGACCATCCTGGCTAACAATACTAAATACTAAAAATACAAAAAAACTAGCCGGGCGAGGTGGTGGGCGCCTGTAGTCCCAGGTACTCAGGAGGCTGAGGCAGGAGAATGGCATGAACCTGGGAGGCGGAGCTTGCAGTGAGCTGAGATCTGGCTACTGCACTCCAGCCTGGGCAACAGAGCGAGACTGTGTCTCAAAAAAAAAAAAAAGAAAAGAAAAGAAAAAAAGAGAAGACCCTTGCCCTGGGCAGCCACAGGGAGTCTTCCTTGATGGGCACATGATCCCTCACTGATGGGAGCCAGGAAGACAGACACCCAATGCACCAAGGCCCAATTTTGCTCCCCTTCCCTCCACTCTGGTTTGGAAACCTTGTATTCTACTTGCAATCTCAAGCCCAGACTTTACTCTTTTTCCTAACCAATAAAAACTTCACCCCAGAGCTTTTATCCAAAGAGTATGAATATCTGGAATAAGAGGGCAATCTTAGGGAAGAGGTGACCCTGGCTGTGGAGGTAGGAGCAGATGGGCCCACAGTCCCGGGTGTCCCTAAATGCCAAGAGACAGATCCAAATACAAAGATGAACATTTGGAGACACAGGAGCACATACATGTGCAGGCTTACACAAGCACACACACAGCCACATAGCCACACGCTACACATACACAGGCACTTATGCACATGTCCACACAAACGTAGATACTCTGGCAGGCACATACTCACAGAGGCGCACACACACACACACACAAATACACACAAGCACACTCACAGGCACATTCGCACAGGTGGAAATTCACACACAGGCACAGATACACACTGATGCAGGCACATGCACGAGCAACACACAGGTATACAGGAACACACACATGCCCAGACACACACATCTACACACACCCAGGCACCCACTAAAGAGCATGAGCTGGCCGGGGTTGGCAGCTCACACCTGTAATCCCAGCACTTTTGGAGGCTGACATGGGTGGATCACCTGAGGTCAGGAGTTTGAGACCAGTCTGGCCAACATGGTGCAATCCCTTCTCTGCTAAAAATACAAAATTGCTGGGCCTAGCACACCTGGCGGGTGCCCATAATCCCAGCTACTCGGGAGGATGAGGCAGGAGAATCGCTTGAACCCAGGAGGCGGAGGCTGCAGTGAGCCAAGATCGCGCCACTGCACTCTAGCTTGGGCAAGAGTGAAACCCTGTAGAAAGAAAGGAAAGGAAAGGAAAGGAAAGGAAAGGAAAGGAAAGGAAGGAAGGAAGGAAGGAAGGAAGGAAGGAAGGAAGGAAGGAAGGAAGGAAGGAAGGACAGGCTCCCACACATGCACACTTAAACACATACACGCACACCCCATAATTCAAACACCAGTTGCCCTAGGCCACTTGAGAGTATCCTGGCCAGCTGCCCTGAGTAGTTCACTCTGGGCTACAGCCCGGGCCCTCCTCCTTCTCTGCCCCACCCCCAGCTGGTTGTATAAATTCCCTCCCTTTGCTCCTTCCCTGGAACAACGGCCTCTAACACCAGCACAGCAAACCCGCCAGGATCAAAGTGTACCAGTTGGCAGCATGGGTAAGGAGAGGGGCTTCCAATCACTCATTGCCTGCTCTGTCTGCCCCTAACTTGGAAGGCCCTCCCCCAGAAAATGCCAGAAAACCTGAGGGGGTAGCTGGGGAGGGAGCAGTGGACTCTGCTTCATTGTCCCCAGTCTGCACACCCCTCCCCCACCACCCCGCTGCATTTCCCAGCTTAGCCAAACTTTCTGAGGAAGGTGGGCAGAGGCACTGCTGGGAAGTGGGATCCTGGGCCCTGACTTGGCTCCATTCAGCAGAGGCTGGGGCCAGGGTGCCTTTCTGCAGCTGGGAAAATCAGACGGGGGGGCTCTTAGAGAACACCACTCAGTCCCTGGCCCTCACATAGGAAAGAGATGATCCTGATTTCAGCCCTGGGCCAACTTTGCACTCCAGGGAGGGAGGTAGGGAGTCCAAGCTTTTCTGTGCCCAGGTCACTGTCTAGCTACCCCACACAGCAAAGCCCTTTGGGAGGGAAATCAGAGACCCCCGCGCTCTTTCACTGGGGACCTGTTTCAATGCCTCCTCCACCCCTAAATCCCCCTTGGCCCTGCTATTTCCTCCATCCGTGGGCTCCTGGGTGACAGGCTGAGAAGGAATTGGGGTTTGGTTGGGAGGTCCTTTCCCACTTGGGGCTGGCTCTTCCTCAGCTGGCAGAATGCCCAGCAGCCAGCCTGGCATGGAAAACCCACTTGAGCTTTCCCTGGGTCCATCCCAAACCCAAAGCTGCTCTGAGATCTTGCTTGAGATGCTTCAGATGGGGGGTATTCCCCAGAAAAAGGAATGATGCTCCCTGGGGCTGCGGTGGCATGCTGGGCCTGACCCTGCGAAATGCTGGGGCTGGGGTTGCTGGGGTTGGTGGGGTGGGGGGTGAGCAGAGGCTGCAGAGCGGGCAACTCCTCCTCTGCACCTTTACTTCCCTCTCAGTTTCTCCCTGGCTTTGTAGTTTTTGTATCTCCGTCTTGATGTCTTGGAGTTTTTTAACCTCCTTTCCCTTCTGTATCCAGCAACTTCCTTCCCCACCCGCTGGCATCTGGTGCCAAGCCCCGACTTAGCAAGGTTATGTAGCAGAACTGGATCTCTCTCTCTCTCTCTCCCTGCCCCACCTCCAGCCCTCTCTCCGGGCATCAAGCACTCTCTGGCATTCTCCTGTCCTCTGGCACAGCGCTTCCCATATTTACACAGTAACTCACTGTTTTTTGTTTTTGTTTTTGTTTTTGAGTCAGAATTTCACTCTTGTAGCCCAGACTGGAGTGCAATGGTGCGATCTCGGCTCACTGCAGCCTCCACCTCCCGGGTTCAAGCCATTCTCCTGCCTCAGCCTCCCAAGTAGCTGGGATTACAGGTGTACGCCACCACGTCCAGTTAATTTTTGTATTTTTAATAGAGACAGGGTTTTGCCATGTTGGCGAGGCTGGTCTCAAACTCCTGACATTAGGTAATCTGTCCGCCTCAGCCTCCCAAAGTGCTGGGATTACAGGTATGAGCCACCGCACATGGCCTAATTCAGTTTTATGAAAGGACTTTGAAATACATTGTCTTATTTGTCCTCCATATCTACCTAGAGAAGTAGGTAGAATATCATTATTGCCCACTTTTCATAAATGAAGAGGAGAAAATGGAGAAATGGGGCATCAGACCTGGGACTTGAAACCAGGTTTCCAGACTCTGAACGCTGTTGCTGCCTCTCAGCTTCCTAAGTCCTTTGGCTGCTGCGAGTGGGAGTCCCAAGCCCCAGTGGTGGCCCCACTCTGCCTACTCCTGGCTCCTCACTTGCGGCCCAGCTGTGAAGGCAGAGGCTGGACTGACCACAGGACAAGGCAGGAGACAGGGCCCAGGCCTGTGGACTCCACTCCAGGGTTTCTTTCAGCCTGCCGCCCCGTCTGGGTTATTCTTTAGCCCCTGCTCCCCAGCAGGCCCCAAACTCTGATGCTGGGGTGCTGGCAGCTGTGATGTCCCAGCCCTGCTGCACATCTGCTGACTTCCCTCCTGGAGATTAGTGTGACCCCTCTTGCCAGACTTCAGAGATAGGAAGGGTTGCTCCCTACCTCTCTGGTGGGCAGGCCTCTGGGCTCTCCAGAGTTGGGCCAAACACCTCACTTTCCAGATAAAGGAAGTGGGGCACACCCAGGGGTAGAAACCGGCCTGAGAACTTCCAGCTGCTATTAGCCCCAGACTCTCAGTTATGTACTTCAGCCCTTGGCTAGCAGCCTGGGATCAGGACCCAGGGGAGAGAAAAGCAGGAATTGGCCTCCCCCTGATATAGAAACATCTTGGTGAAGGGAGCTGAGCAGGCGCCACGCTCTCTCCCTGAGAGTGGCTCCCCAAGAACAGCCAGGGGTGCCTGGGCTTTGGCCAGACAAGCAGAGAGCTGCACACCAACTGCATCCTTGTGTTTACTTCTCGTAAAAGCCCACTGGGGAATTCTTGCCATCTCCGTTTTACAGAGGATGCAGAAATTGGGGTCGAGGAGCTTCAGTACTTTGCCCAAGCTCCCCTGGCTAGTCAGTGGCGGGCTGGGGTTGGGCTCCGAGTCTGTGTCATAGTCACTACACCACACGACCCCAGCTGCATCAGCCCTCCTCCAGCCCTCCCTGGGCCCTGCTGGACTGCCTGTCTACCTTCAGGTCACGTGTCTCCAGCTCTTCCCAGCACAACCTCACCCTCATCAGGGCTCTGAGGGGGCAGAGAGGACAGGCCAGAGCAATGAGGCTGGATTGGGGACGTAGGCCAGCCGCACTGCCGTGGCCCACTGGGATGTATGCTGCAGGATGTGGGGAGGGAGCCTTCACCCTCCAGAGTGTGGCCCAGCCAATGTGCCCCATTGCTTCCACAGCTACAAAATGTGGGAACTGTGGACCCGGCTACTCCACCCCTCTGGAGGCCATGAAAGGTAATTGCCATGGTCTGAGAGCCAGTGCCCTACTGCTGATTCCACAGCCAGGGGTGGAGGGACTTCAGACCTAGCCCCCACCCTCTGGCACCCCCAGCACTTCCCCTGCCCTTCCTTCCCACCCTGCCGTCCCTGCTGCCTGCTTTCTACCCTGCAGGACCCAGAGAAGAGATCATCTACCTGCCCTGCATTTACCGAAACACAGGCACTGAGGCCCCAGATTACCTGGCCACTGTGGATGTTGACCCCAAGTCTCCCCAGTATTGCCAGGTAAGGCAGGGCTTGGGCACCAGCTGCTTTAAGAGTGTAGCTGCCCTCCTCCCTGGCCCTGGGGCCCCCCTTCCCAGCTCCATCCTTCTTGGCCCTCCCTGGGTATGGATGTGCAGGCTCCACCTGGGACAAGGGGAGTGCTGAAATCCAGCCTGTGCCGTGCTTCCAAACCAAAATAGGTCCGCAGGGGCCCCTCTTCCAGAAGCGGACAGAGGCGTGGCCTGGAAGAGCACCCCATCTCCCCGCATCCTAGGTCATCCACCGGCTGCCCATGCCCAACCTGAAGGATGAGCTGCATCACTCAGGATGGAACACCTGCAGCAGCTGCTTCGGTGATAGCAGCAAGTCGCGCACCAAGCTGGTGCTGCCCAGTCTCATCTCCTCTCGCATCTATGTGGTGGACGTGGGCTCTGAGCCCCGGGCCCCAAAGCTGCACAAGGCATGTCTTCTGCCCTTGCCAGCTCAGTAGACCACAAGACACCTGCCACCCCAGGCAGCCTACGGGCAGGAAGCCAGACCTAAACCAGCAGCCTCCAGCTCTTACACAGGATCTGGCTCGGCAGCAGGGAGGGAGGTTGGACTTCAGAGCAGAGTCTACCCAGGCATTCTGGGTCATCACCCTCCAGCACGGTGACCAGGGCACTGGAGAAGAGGGAGGAGGCTTCTTGTTTTACTCTGAGAGAGGGAGGGAGCCATTTACTCCCCCTATGCGGTTAGCAGCTCAGGGCTTCTCTTAAAAACTCCAGTCCCTCCCAACACTTTGTTTAGTGCACTCTTGGTGCCAAGCACTTACTGTGTTGTCTACTGGTAATACAGAGTTAACACTGGTCTGGGCCAGCCCGGGAGGAGCTTATGGTTTCACAGGGCTGTGTGTGCCTTCAGGACACACGGGGAAAGGTCAGCACTTCCTGCCCAGGGAGTTATTAGCAATCTCTCTGACTTTCCCTTGCTGCTCTGTAGAAGTTACCAGACTGAATCTCTGTCATATTCCCACAAGGAGAGTTGTGTCCAGGTTTTGAAGGAAAAGATGGGGCCGGGCGCGGTGGCTCAAGCCTGTAATCCCAGCACTTTGGGAGGCCGAGACGGGCGGATCACGAGGTCAGGAGATCGAGACCATCCTGGCTAACACGGTGAAACCCCGTCTCTACTAAAAAAATACAAAAAACTAGCTGGGTGAGGTGGCGGGCACCTGTAGTCCCAGTTACTCGGGAGGCTGAGGCAGGAGAATGGCGTGAACCAGGGAGGCGGAGCTTCCAGTGAGCTGAGATTCGGCCACTGCACTCCAGCCTGGGCAACAGAGTGAGACCCCCGTTCCAAAAAAAAAAAAAAAAAAAAAAGATGACAGAGTCAGCAGATAGAAGTAGGAGGAGTATGGCGGTTAAGAGCAGGGATTCCCAGTCCTGTATGATTCTGACACCATTCCCCACCCCTTCCAGGTCATTGAGCCCAAGGACATCCATGCCAAGTGCGAACTGGCCTTTCTCCACACCAGCCACTGCCTGGCCAGCGGGGAGGTGATGATCAGCTCCCTGGGAGACCTCAAGGGCAATGGCAAAGGTACCTGCCAGCATATGTGCTCATGAAAACTTCCATAGCTGTGAAATGTGGAAAGCATTGTTCTGTGGGAGGAGCAGAATGGAAGGGGAGGGATGGAATGACTTTCCAAGGAGAAGCAGTGAGCTGGATCCCAGTCAGTATTTTAAATGTTAGCAAGTAACTTCAGTTTTGAATAGTTCTATTAAGATGAGTCTTCACTGATGAATTCAGTTCAAAGTTATAGTCAAAACAGGCCAGGTGTGGTGCTTTACACCTATAATCCCAGCACTTCAAGAGGCCGAGGCCAGCGGATCACCTGAGCTCAGGAATTCCAAACCAGCCTGGCCAACATGGTGAAACCCCGTCTGTGTGTTGTCTGCCGATAACACAGAGTTGGCACTGGCAACTCTGCACTAAAAATGCACAAATTAGCTGGGTGTGGTGGTTCAGGCCTGTAACCCCCACTTCTCAAGAGGCTGAGGTAGGAGGATCACCTGAGCCCAGGGAGGTCGAGGCTGCAATGAGCTGTGATTGAACCACAGCATTTCAGCTTGGGCGTCAGAGTGAGACCTTATCTCAGAAAAAATGTAGTGAGCAGAATGGAGCTTAGACTCTGGGAGGAATCCCACTCCAAAAGTGGGAGGCTGGACAACAGAATACCGGGTACTGAGTCCCAGAAGATATCGTAGGAGAAACATTTCTGCTGTGATCTGAGGGACGGATGAAGTTGATAGGAGACAGGGGCACTAGGGTAAAGCACCCCCTGCCACCTGGCCACCTTTGAATGCCTGGGTGAGACCCTTTGGATGCCTGAATTTTTAATTTACTTTTTCTTTTCCTTTTTTTTTTTTGAGATGGAGTCTGGCTCTGTTGCCCAGGCTGCTGGTGTGCAGTGGCGCAATCTCAGCTCACTCCAACCTCCACCTCACTGGTTCAAGCTCCTGAGTAGCTGGGATTACAGGCATGTGACACCATGCCTGGGTAATTTTTTGTATTTTTGATAGAGACAGGGTTTCACCATGTTGGCCAGGCTGTTCTTGAACTCCTGACCTCAAGTGATCCGCCCGCCTCAGCCTCCCACAGTGCTGAGATTACGGGTATGAGCCACTGTGCCCCCAGCCATGGATGCCTGAATTTAAGGAGCTGGCAAATCCAGCAGTGGAGGTGGAGGCAATGGGCTTTCAGCCTCTTAGACATGCCTGGGGGAGAGGGCTGGAGGGTAGGGTTAGTGTCTTTACTGCCTCTACCTGCCACCCTACTTCCTTCCCTGTTCAGGGGGTTTTGTGCTGCTGGATGGGGAGACATTCGAGGTGAAGGGGACATGGGAGCGACCTGGGGGCGCTGCGCCATTGGGCTATGACTTCTGGTACCAGCCTCGACACAATGTTATGATCAGCACTGAGTGGGCAGCTCCCAATGTCTTACGAGATGGCTTCAACCCCGCTGATGTGGAGGCTGGTGAGAATCCCCCCACGGGCCAGCAGGAGCCTTGGGCCCACATCCCCTTGCTTTCTGCTCCAAATCTCCCAGCCCCGCACTTCCCTCCTGTGGCCCCAGAATCTGAGGGAGATGGCATAGGATGCACTGCATGCTCAGATTGCTCAAGCGTCCTCCTGATCCCTCCAATCCATTTCTTAACCTTCTGCCCTGATTAGTGGCCTGTTTGCCCATGCCTTCCAACCCCTGATGCTGAGCCTATCCTCCGGCCCCACTCCCACCCCAGGGCTGTACGGGAGCCACTTATATGTATGGGACTGGCAGCGCCATGAGATCGTGCAGACCCTGTCTCTAAAAGATGGGCTTATTCCATTGGAGATCCGCTTCCTGCACAACCCAGATGCTGCCCAAGGCTTTGTGGGCTGCGCGCTCAGCTCCACCATCCAGCGCTTCTACAAGAACGAGGTGACATACGCCCTCTGGCCCTCCCCTCCCAGTAGTTTTGTCAGCAGCTCTACCTAAGCAGGCTTCTGTAATGGTGCTCCCAGGCATCTCCAGGAATGAAAAAAACGAGGCTGCATGCCTTGTCTCTCTTCTCTCAGTGGTAGGCCAACTTCTGCCTGAACCCTAACTGGCCATATTTATTCATTCATTCAAAAACTACTCAGTGAACTTCTGTGCTGGGCACTGTGCTATGTTCTGGGAATGCAGTGATGAAGCAGACACAACCCCTGCCTAAAGGGGCTTGCATGGAGTTAGGTCCTAGTGGAAAGAAGGCCGGTCATCTATTCTCTCCCTCCCAGGTCTGGGCAACCCAGATCTAACCCTCAGTCCCCAGTTCTGATAGGCTCACCTCTCTGCCAGCTAACCTAACCCTCCACCCCTCAACGTAGGGAGGTACTTGGTCAGTGGAGAAGGTGATCCAGGTGCCCCCCAAGAAAGTGAAGGGCTGGCTGCTGCCTGAAATGCCAGGTGAGTGCCTAGGGCACGGGAAAGTTGATTCTTGGCCTGGGAAACAAGAGTCCTTAAAGGGTCTACTCGCCCCCGCCCCCAGGCCTGATCACCGACATCCTGCTGTCCCTGGATGACCGCTTCCTGTACTTCAGCAACTGGCTGCATGGGGACCTGAGGCAGTATGACGTCTCTGACCCACAGAGGCCCCGCCTCACAGGACAGGTGGGGGCCCTGGCAGGAGGAGCAGAAGGGAAGGAAGGAAGGAAGGATAAGAGAATCTGGGGATGGGGTGGATGGTCTGAAGCAGCTGGAGGATGATGAGGGAGGTGCAGGAAAAGCAGACATGTGGGCTGCGGGACAGCGCAGGCCCAGGACTGTCCAGGCCAGGGATGGGCATGCAGAGCACGTCTGAAAGGAAAGAGAGATCCCAGTCAGGCAAGCTGCTCTTCCTGCAACATGTGCACCTCCCACTACGGTCCTCCTTATCCTCTGCACCTCCCCATCCAGCTCTTCCTCGGGGGCAGCATCGTTAAGGGAGGCCCCGTGCAAGTGCTAGAGGACCAGGAACTAAAGTCCCAGCCAGAGCCCCTGGTGGTCAAGGTAAGAGCCTCTCCCCCTACTTGCTGGACCCCTCAGACCCATGCTTGAGGAATATGTGGGGGAGAAGCTGAGCATGCTCTTGGGTTTGGGGTGGTGCCTAGGATCTGTGTGTTACCCTGGGCTCTGACCCCTGGTTTTCCCAAGGGAAAACGGGTGGCTGGAGGCCCTCAGATGATCCAGCTCAGCCTGGACGGGAAGCGCCTCTACGTGACCACGTCGCTGTACAGCGCCTGGGACAAGCAGTTTTACCCTGATCTCATCAGGTGAGAAGCAGACACATGGGCTCACCTCCCCAGCCCTCCTCTTCCTGTTTGGCTTTCTGAAGACTCCTTAGGGAGACCCCTGTACCCCACCACACAGATGGCCCATCAAGACCCTGGTCATTCCTTGTTCCTCAGTAGCCTTCCCCTAAAATCTCAGGGGAAGGGGGCAGCCACCTCTGACTTCTCCCTTACCCCGTTCCCCTTTTCCACCAGGGAAGGCTCTGTGATGCTGCAGGTTGATGTAGACACAGTAAAAGGAGGGCTGAAGTTGAACCCCAACTTCCTGGTGGACTTCGGGAAGGAGCCTCTAGGCCCAGCCCTCGCCCATGAACTCCGCTACCCTGGGGGCGACTGTAGCTCTGACATCTGGATTTGAACTCCACCCTCATCACCCTCAGTCCATATTTTGAGCCCTCACTTCCTTGGGGACCTGGCTTCATTCTGCTCTCTCTTGGCACCCAACCCTTGGCAGCATGTACCACACAGCCAAGCTGAGACTGTGGCAACGTGTTGAGTGGTATCCATTTACTGACCACTGTTGCTTGTTGCTCACTGTGCTGCTTTTCCATGAGCTCTTGGAGGCACCAAGAAATAAACTGTTGACCCTGTTCTTCAGACGGCCTTGTCTTTGGGGGCCCAAGGCCTGTGTCTCCTCTTCTGTCTATGCTTTGTATCTTGTACAAGAAAAGGCTAAAGAGGCCTCTGGGGGGGGGTTATGGTAACTAGTTCACACCAGTGATGCTAATAATGCCAAAATCTCACTTTTATGGCCAGACAGAATCTGAAAATTTTGGGGATGATTGTCACAAGGAGACCTGGGGGTAGAGAATGTAAATTGGTATTTCTGAAGTTTTGTTTTTTTAACCATGCTTTCTTTTAACAAACCTAAAAATCTCACCCATCACTCCCAAGACAATGTAATATGCTCCCTCACACACAGGAGACCCCAGGACCCCTGTTCTGTATAGTGTAATAAATTTCCACTGATGGCAAGACTACTGGGAGAACTCAGTTGTTGGGAGGTTTATTAGGCTGCTCTTGCATTGCTGTAAAGAAATACCTGAGACTGGGTAATTTATAAAGAAAAGAGGTTTAATTGGCCATGGTTCTGCAGGCTCTACCGGAAGCATGACGCTGGCATCTGCCCAGCTTCTCAGGAGGCCTCAGGAAACTTACAGTCGTGGCAGAAGGTGAAGGAGGAGTGCAAACATCACATAGCCAGAGTAGGAGCAAGAGACAGAGAGAGTGAGGGGGAGGTGCCACACACTTTTAAACAATCAGATCTCAGGAGAACCCACTCATGACCTCGAGGATAGTACCAAGGTGGGGTGGTGCTAAACCATTTATGAGAAACCCATCCCCCATGATTCAGTCATCTCCCACCAGGCCCCACCTCCAACACTGGGAATTACAATTTGACATGAGATTTGTTGGAGACACAGGTTCAAACCATATCATTCTGCTGCTGCCCCCTCCCAAATCTCACATCCTTTTCACCTTTCAAAATACAATCATGCCTTTCCAATAATCCCCAAAGTCTTTTTTTTTTTTTTTTTTTTTGAGACGGAGTCTCGCTCTGTCGTCCAGGCTGGGGTGCAGTGGCCGGATGTCAGCTCACTGCAAGCTCTGCCTCCCGGGTTTAGGCTATTCTCCTGCCTCAGCCTCCCGAGTAGCTGGGACTACAGGGGCCCGCCACCTCGCCCGGCTAGTTTTTTGGATTTTTTAGTAGAGATGGGGTTTCACCGTGTTAGCCAGGATGGTCTCGATCTCCTGACCTCGTGATCCGCCCGTCTCGGCCTCCCAAAGTGCTGGGATTACAGGCTTGAGTCACCACGCCCGGCCAATCCCCAAAGTCTTAATTCATTCCAGCATTAACTTAAAAGTCCAAAGCCCAAAGTCTCATCTGAGAAAAAGCAAGTCCCTTCCACCTATGAGCCTGTAAAATAAAAAAACAAGTTAGTTACTCCCAAGATACAATGGGAGTATAGGCATTGGGTAAATACTCCCATGCCAAAAGGGAGAAATGAGCCAAATGAAAGGGACTTCAGGCCCCATGCAAGTCCAAAACCCAGCAGGGCAGTTGTTAAATATTAATACTCCAAAATAATCTCCTTTGATGCCATGTCCCTAATCCAGGGCACACTGGTGCTAGGGGTGGGCTCCCAAGGCCTTGGGCTCTGCCCCTGTGGTTTTGCAGGGTTCAGCCCCCATGACTGCTCTCATGGGCTGGTGTTGAGTGCCTGTGGCTTTTCCAGCTGCAGGGTGCCAGCTGGCAGTGCATCTACCATTCTGTGGTCTGGAAGACAGCAGCCCTCTTCTCACAGCTCTACTAGGCAGCACCCCAGTGGGGACTCTGTGTGGGTGCTCCAACCCCACATTTCTCCTCCACCCCACCCTAGTAAAGGTTCTCCATAAGTGTTCTGCCTCTGTAGCAGGCTTCTGCTTGGAGCCCAGGCTTCTCCATACACCCTCTGAAATCTAGGCGGAGGCTCCCAAGCCTCAACTCTTGCACTCTGCACAGCTTCAGGCTTAACACCACGTGGAAGCTGCCAAGGCTTAGGTTTGCACTCTCTGGAGCAGTGGCCCAAGCTATACCTGGGCCCCTTTGAGCCACCACCTGGAGCTAGAGCAGCTGGAATGCAGGGAGCAGTACAGAGCAGGGGGGCCCTGGACATGGCCCATAAAACCATTCAGTCCTCCTAGGCCTCTGGGCCTGTGATGGGAGGAGCTGCTGCAAAGGTCTCTGAAATACCTTTGAGGCCTCCCACCAGGCTCCACCTCCAACACTAGGGATTACCACTGAACATGAGATATGATGGAGACACAGATCCAAACCATATCAGGAGGTTAAATGTGTCACCTCTACCTAGAATACAGAAACATTAACACACAGGAGGGCTAAGAACACAATGGTGAACCAATCCAACAGGCCAGGCCATGGCACTCTTGTCTCCTCACCCAGATGGTATTTTAGAACCTTACTCAGAGATGTCTCCTTTCCCTGTGCTAGGTGCTCCTCCTCCTCCTCCTCTTCTTCTTCTTTCTTCTTCCTCTTCTTCTTCATTTCTTCCTCTTCTCCCTCTGCCTCTTCCTCCTCCTCCTCCTCTTCTTCCACCTCTTCCTCTTCTCCTCCTCCTCCTCCTCCTTCTTATTCCTCCTCCTCTTCTTCTTTCTTCTCCTTCTTCTTCCTCTTTTTCTCCTTCCTTCCTCCTTCTCCTTCTTCTTCTTTTCTTCTTTCTTCTTCTTCAAGATAAAGTTTCCCTATATTGCTCAGGTTGGTCTCAAACTCCTGGGCTCAAGTGATCATCTTGCCTCAGCCTTGCAAATTCCGGGATTACACAAGTGAACCACCATGACCAGCCTTCAATTCTTTTATTCTTTTTTTTTTTTTTTTTGAGACAGGGCCTTACTCTGGTGCCCAGGCTGGAACGCAGTGGCACAATTGCAGCTCGCTGCAGCCTAACGTAAGCATCACACCTGGCTCAATTTTTTATAGAAGGAATCTAATAGAAATGTCAGGACCCTTAGAGACAGCAGCCAAATGGTAATTATTATTTTATTTTACTTTGGATAGAGTCTTGCTCTGTCACCCAGGCTGGAGTGCAGTGGCACAATCTTGGCTGCCTGTAACATCTGCCTCCTGGGTTCAAGCAATTCTTTTGTCTCAGCCTCCCAAGTAGCTGGGATTGCAGGCATGTGCCACCACACCTGGATACTTTTTGTATTTTTAGTAGAGACTGGGTTTCACCATATTGGCCAGGCTGGTCTCGAACCCCTGAACTCAAGAGATCCGCCCACCTCGGCTTCCCAAAGTGCTGGAATTACAGGCATGAGCCACCGTGCCCAGCCCAAATGGTAATTCTACTGACTCCTTTATTCTCTACCTAGACAATATTAAACAACATTCAGGTATTGACTTACATTCTTTTCAGTCTTCTGAAAAGGTATCTTTCTTTTAAACATTGGAGCAGCCTAGGACCCCCAGTATGGTCTCACCACGCCAGGAATACACCATACTTTTCCTTTGAGGCCTTTAAACACACTCTCTGAGACGTCCACCTCAACTGGAGTCCCGATTCCCTCCTTCTGCCTCACCTGCCATCCAAGCCAGATTTCCATGTCCTCTGGGAAACCTCCTTCCCTGGCTCCTCCAGGCCAGGGGCCCATCTTAACACCCACAAAGCCTGCTGCACTTAACCTCATCATAAACACATGTCTCTTTGAATCGAAACTCTCTGTTAATTCCCAGTACCTAGCTTGGATGTTGGCACTTAGCATGCTTTAATGAATAAATGAATATAAAGGAAGTGCTCAAGATGAGTAGGGAGTTACAGGGAGCCTTGGGATTTATAAGGTTTTACCATAGGTTTCTCTCCTTAGTCTCTGCCCTCTTCTCTTCAATAACCAAACTTCTTCAGAATGAGAAAGGATAATGTAGTTCTACATCATTTCTATCTCTTCGTAAAAGCTTAAAATTCCACTCAACAATATTCCATCCCATTCATCTTGTTCATTCTGGTAAGAGCAATTGCCATACCTGAAGGCAGGGAAACTACTGAAGACAACTGGGGTGGCCAGGTGTGGTGGCTCACGCCTGTAATCCCAGCACTTTGGGAGGCCAAGGAGGGTGGATCACGAGGTCAGGAGATCGAGACCAGCCTGGCCAAAATGGTGAAACCCCATCTCTACTAAAAATAAAAAAATTAGCAGGGCGTGGTAGCACACGCCTGTAATTCCAGCTACTCAGGAGGCTGAGGCAGGAGAATCACTTCAACCTGGGAGGCGGAGCTTGCAGTGAGCCAAGATCGCGCCATTGCACTCGAGCCTGGGCGACAGAGCGAGACTGTCTCAAAAAAAAAAAAGACAACTAGGGCTGTGTCTAAAGGACTCATGCCATATCTGACAAAAGATTTGTATCTAGAATGCATGAAAAACTCTAAAAACTCAACAGTAAAAAAACAAACACTCCAGTTAGAAAACGAGCAAAAGGAACGGGCATGGTGGCTCACACCTGTAATCTCAGCACTTTGGGGGGACGAGGCGTGTGGATCACTTGAGGCCAGTAGTTCGAGACCAGCCTCACCAACATGGCGAACCCCATCTCTACCAAAAATACAAATATTAGCCAGGTATGGTGGCGTGCACTTGTAGTCCCAGCTACTTGGGAGGTTGAGGCAGAAGAATCGCTTGAACATGGGAGGTGGAGGTTTTGGTGAGCTGAGGTCATGTCACTGCATTCCAGCCTGGGTGACAGGATGAGACTCAGTCTCAAAAAATAAAAAATAAAAAAGGGAGCCAGGTGTGTTGGCTCACGCCTGTAATCCCAGCACTGTGGGAGGCCAAGGTAGGCAGATCACTTGAAGTCAGGAGTTCAAGACCAGCCTGGCCATCTCTACTAAAAATACAAAATATTAGCCAGGCCTGGTGGCACATACTTGTAATCCAGCTACTTGGGAGACTGAGGCAGGAGAATCACTTGAATCCGGGAGGTTGCAGTGAGCCGAGATCGCGCCACTGCAGTCACTCCAGCCTGGACAACAAGAGCGAAACTCCATCTCAAAAAAAAGAGTCTGATCAAGCCTCTAGGTCTCTCATCAGTTTATAGGAGATACAAG